CAATAGCATAGCTGTTTGTATTAAGAAGTGTACGTGTCAGTATGTTTTTAAGATAACAAACATCAACTTCCCTTTAATCACGTTTAAGCGGGAGAATGCGGAATCATGTACTCGAATGTCTTCCTTTTTTTCCAAGTCTGATAATTTTTAAGTGTCTTAATTTTGGCAACTGCAGAGCTTCCACGCATCGTTGTGTTGATTGAGGCTACTATTACTAATATATTCTATGCTCCAAGACCTCGAAATTACGTGACCTGTATTTTCAGGACAGAAAATGTCCTTATTTTTAGCAAAACAATCTGTGATACCTAGTGCACCTGTTTACGATCATCTTTCTTCAGTGTCGCATGAACAGTTGTTTATTTCCAGAAAGTGGTCATCCAACGGATACTGAATAAAAGGTTGCTTGAAGTTTATCCCCATGGACTATTGTAGTAAGTAGTTCTCGAACCCCAACCAATCATTTTTCACAATGCCGACAACGCTAGCGGAATATACGCTAAAACGCTCACATGGTCCGACGACCCTTTAACCCCGTTGGAGAGATAGGTGCTAAATAACTAGTGCAAATCTTCCTCATTCCAAAACCGAGAAGGTTTAATTAGAGATGCCTAGTGTCCATATACGCATTTCCAACAGAGGAGAGGTAACATCAAATGCACAGCAGTGAAGGATTAAGGCAATGATGAGAAAGCCACTCTTTTCTCTCCTTGCCGCTCAAGTGCTTTATTTGCAGCTTTATTTTACTAGTGGTAAGTTATTGTAATGACCATCGATTATTGTACTGGTAAATTACGAATTTCTGGTAATTTTCATCAAACAAGAATGGTTGTTGGCAAATTTTGTTAAGGGGGTTGAAAATTGACTGCAATCTGACCAATACAAATTTGGTGCAGACTGCACGTTTCATCGTTTTCTCGAGCACCCCAATGATATTTGCTTATCTACGAAGATAATTTTTCATGCGCATCCTAGGAGGGACAAGGGCAGCAACTAGTGGTGCGGGATATTTTTTGGGTGAAATCTCTTTAAGCAAACTGGGAACTGGGAGGCTTCTCTCGGGTACTTCTTGAAAACCTTGTAAGCAATAATTTTACCTGTTGCGCGTCCAAATGTGCTCCTCTGGGTCTCTGAAGACGTGCGTCAACGAAAACCTAATGCAGGATTACTCGTTTTGGGTAAACAGAAAAATCGAGCTCACAAAATACTCTCCGAGGCCCACCCAAAAATGAATTTATAGACGACGATCTCAGGCTTAAAGCACGCTCAACTTGACAAAATACTCTCCTGGGCCCACCCAAAAAGGTGTTTATCGACGACGATCTCAGGCTTAAAGCATACTATAAGAAGACGTGAGGCCCGAGCTCAACCTTTGCTTTCAAGGAAGTAAACCACTTATGGGGTGTAATTGATCCAGATGGATTAGACCTGTTGCGCGTCCAAATTTTCTTCCTCTAGCCTGGGTCTCTGAAGACTTGCGTCAACAATACCCTTATGCAGGATTACTCGTCTTGGATAAGCAAAAATATGAAGCTGACAAAATACTCTCCAGGGCCCACCCAATAAGGAATTTATCGACGACGATCTCAAACTTAAAGCACTCTCAAAGAGACGTGAGGCCCGAGCTCAACCTTTGGTTTCAGGGAAGTAAACCACTTATGGGATGTAATTAATCCAGATGGATTAGACCTGCTGCGCGTCCAAATTTGCTTCCTCTGGGTCTCTGAAGACGTGCGTCAACAAAACCCTTATGCAGGATTACTCGTCTTGGATAAGCAAAAATATGAAGCTGACAAAATTCTCTCCAGGGCCCACCCAAAAATTGAATTTATAGACGACGATCTCAGGCTTTAAGACCGCTATAAGAGACGTGAGGCCCGAGCTCAACCTTTGCTTTCGAGGAAGTAAACCACTTATGGGGTGTAATTGATCCAGATGGATTAGACCTTTTGCGCGTCCAAATGTGCTTCCTTTTGGCCTCTGAAGACGTGCGTCAACAAAACCCTTATGCAGGATTACTCGTCTTGGATAAGCAAAAATATGAAGCTGACAAAATACTCTCCAGGGCCCACCCAATAACGAATTTATCGACGACGATCTCAGGCTTAAAGCACGTTCTAAGAGGTGCGAGGCCCGAGCTCAACCTTCGCTTTCAAGGAAGTAAACCACTTATGGGGTGTAATTAATCCAGATGAATTAGACCTATAGATTCAAAAATGGTAAATTGATCTACGTGACATAGCGAAATAATTCCAAATAAGAGGATCGCATCATTTTAGGGTGATATGAGAAGGATAGCAAAATGGGGAAAGGTAACAAAATATTCAGAAAAAATTAATATATATATTGTCAAGAAATAGATATTGTTACATTCAGAATTTATTTGAGTTCTTTTGCTTATTTATTACGGTTTTCAACTTTCGTTAGTAACTGAAATGTAAAGGGTTTTATTGAAACTGTTGGTTAGATGAACAAGTACATACTTGACCAAAATTTAACGATTAACATTTATAAATTTATTGTTATTGTTATTATTATTATTATTATTATTATTATTATTATTATTATTATTTCATATTCTTGAATCTGTAAATAGTAAAATTTAATAATTATTATATTTATCATTGGGATGAACATAGAAATTTCCTTTTTTTTTAGTTTATAGACAGTTGTTTACATTTGCTCGGTTGAAAATCACCAGACCACCAAGAAGTCTTTTTTTAACTATATTTATATTAATTTTGTACTTAATTTTCAATTTGAGAAGAGTTTAATAAAGTATTATTATTATTATTATTATTATTATTATTATTATTATTATTATTATTATTATTATTATTATTATTATTATTATTATTATTATTATTATTATATTGGGCGATTCCCTCCAGTACCCTGGTGTTTTTCTTGGTCTTCTCATTTCTCAGCTGCATCCAACAGGTTAGAGGCACACCACATTCCTAAAATGTGAGCAGTACAAATTGATGGCTGATAACTGAGTACTTCAAAAAATGTCGGGCAAACTTAATCTTCCATACCAGGCCTTTGCATTGCTTTGCATTACTTTGCCAACCTTGTAGGCAATAATTTTACGTGTTGCGCATCCAAATGTGCTTCCTCCGGGTCTCTGACGACGTACGTCAACAAAAACCTTATGCAGGATTACTCGCCTTGGATAAGCAAAAATATCAAGCTGACAAAACACTCTCCTGGGCTCACCCAAAAAGGTGTTTATCGACGACGATCTCAGGCTTAAAGCATACGATAAGAAGACGTGAGGCCCGAGCTCAACCTTTGCTTTCAAGGAAGTAAACCACTTATGGGGTGTAATTGATGCAGATGGATTAGACCTGTTGCGCGTCCAAATGTGCTTCCTTTTGGCCTCTGAAGACGTGCGTCAACAAAACCCTTATGCAGGATTAGTGGTCTTGGATAAGCAAAAATATGAAGCTGACAAAATACTCTCCAGGGCCCACCCAAAAAGGAATTTATAGACGACGATCTCAGGCTTAAAGCACGTTCTAAGAGACGTGAGGCCCGAGCTCAACCTTCGCTTTCAAGTAAGTAAACCACTTATGGGAGGTAATTAATCCAGATGGATTAGACCTATAGATTCAAAAATGGTAAATTGATCTGCATGACATAGCGAAATAATTCCAAATAAGAGGATCGCATAATTTTAGGGTGATATGGGAAGGATAGCAAAATGGGGAAAGGTAACCAAATATTCAGAAAAAATTAATACATATATATTGTCAGGAAATAGATATTGTTGCATTCAGAATTTATTTGATTTCTTTTGCTTATTTATTAAGGTTTTCAAACTTTCGTTACTAACTGAAATGTAAAGGGTTTTATTGAAACTGGTGGTTAGGTCAACAAGTGCATACTTAACCAAAAATTAACGATTAACATTTTATCAATTTGTTGCAGTTATTATTATTATTATTATTATTATTATTATTATTATTATTATCATTATTATTGGGCGATTCTCGCCAGCACCATGGTGTTTTTCTTGGTCCTCTCATTTCTCAGCTGCATCCAACAGCTTAGAGGCACAGCACATTCCCCAAAAAGTGAGCAGTACGAATTGATGGCTGATAACTGAGTACTTCAAAAAATGTCGGGCAAACTTAATCTTCCATACCAGGCCTTTGCATTGCTTTGCCTTCTTTTCCCATCTTCAACAAACTCATTCCTGAGACATCCACAGGACTCCTCTCCAGTCACATCTGAAGTTTTCGTAGTAAATTCTCCCTGTGGAGCTTCCCGTTCCTGACTTTCTCCTCTTCCCTTCTTTTCTGGTAGTCCTGAAGATTCTCTTCTTCAACAAACACCTTCTCCTGATATCTCTCAGGTAGCCATGCAACAATTTTCTCTCCTTCTAACACTCCTCAATACCAATCAACCCTCACCCTTTCTTTTCTCAGAAGATACAGTCTGGCAACATTACGTTTTGTGTGTAAATAGCCATTTACCGCCAATATCGACCTAGTTTTTCTATCCATACTGACCAGCCCTTCCAACATGCAATCCACGATACTTGCACTGTAGCGTATTAAACCTACAGCCTAGACATTGATGTACTAATAAGATTTCCGCCATTCAATTTGGATCTACACAACCGTCTTAATTTCTCTTCAGATGTATTCCGCTGTCACCTCGCCTTTCATCTGGTCTAATTGTAAAACACTAAGATATATGTAGCCCCTATACCCCCTTCCGCACCATCTGGCAGGTCTATCGTCATCGTCATCGTCATCGTCATCGTCATCATCATCATTATCATCATCATCATCATCATCATCATCATTATGATCGTTATCGCTATTGTTATTGTCATTGTTATCGTTATCGTGTATATCATCATCATAGTTTTTATTATTATTATTTTTTACATTCAAGGGGCTGTCTTTCAAGCTGGGAAGGTAAATATAACGGACACTTCCCAAAACAACCATGGTTGCCAAGCCGTTTCTTTCAAAACTCAATTCCAGGGTTCGGGAGATGTAAAGGTGTTCGCGACGCTCAGTCACGGAAACAAATATGTTAAAATCCACGACCCAGCGTCTCTTTGGGTAAAGTCGGTGTCAACAACAGGTTTTGAAGCCTGCGTGCGCGAAGCAGGAAGGGGCTCTGGTGGAACGTCTGTGATCAACTGGCTTGCATTTCAAGGTTCGCATCAAGGCATACACTCAGGGATCGTGGAATTCAATGAATTCACGTCACGAACACAGTGCAAGAAGATATCGCTAAGCATTCAGAAACAGGTAACTTCGCAACGTCATCCAATTCATTCATTTAGTCTTCCATGTTAGTTTTAAAGTCAATACTCACGAAAAACTCATAACTCAACTTCGACCTTAAGGGAAAAAAATAACGAAAACGAGCGTGACTTCACATCAGCAAAATTAAAAAAAAAAATGGCCTTGTTTTGTAAATTGTTTAAATACTATGCCTGCAAAAATCACCAAAAAATGTAATGGTTATAGTGCTCCATGATGAAAGTTGTTTGATATCTTCTTCATGGCTCTGCAGGAACATTTAATGCATGGATAAATGGACACAGTGATTACTTCAGCACAGAATTGCGAAGTGGCCTAAAGCAGCAATATCATCGTAGCATATCCCCTTTAACAAGAAAAGGGCTTAGCACTATATGAATCGTCCGTTGTTTTTCCTATGTTTTGTTTGCTGTTCAAGAATCTCCTCCTAATACTCTGGCAAATCGCCGCATGCAAAACCGAGTAACTCTTCAAAGCCGAAATGAAGTCGATACTTGATTATTTTCCCAATCAACAATTGTTGTGAAGCTGTAATGGCCATGAGCTTGTGATAACGTCAGTCCATAACGTTAAGCGCTGTTAATCCGGTCCTCTTCGGGGCAAAGGACGATAATCATATTTAAGCTCAGTATGTACACGTACTTATTGGTTGATTTTTTCTCTTCTTTTAGATAAAACCTCAAGTGTTTGTAACCGTTCAACATAAACATTCTAACCGTCCTTTTGATTCCATGAACATCTGGCTAGAAGAGGTCGAAGCAGACGGCTTCGTTATTTGCTTGAGAGAGTTTATGAGTTTCGACGGTATCCATACCGGACTTAAAGTGGTGAGTTTTAAAAAATTAGCCCAGTCTTCGACTATTACGTTTTTCTTCGTCCTTACTTGTTATCAATTAAATTTAAAATTAATTCTGATTGTATGGAAGCTAATTAAAAACCTGGTGGTTAGTTTGGCCTCCCCTTATAAATTACGTAAAAATTATATTAGAAGAATTATTGTTACACCTAACCCATAAATGTTTGAAAACCGTAAAACTCTGAATTTGCTTTGCAAAGACAGCCTGACGAAAGGCGTGGAGGGGTGTACTGGAAGTGAAAAAGGTGGGAGGGGGGCGCTGATCAGGGAGCGGGGTTCTTTCAAAGAGCCGCTTTTCAGCCTTAACAAAATATCGCCCCTGCTGCGCATGTGCAGCAGGCGTTTTGAAAAGAAAGAAGGTTTTCTTGAAGTCGCGCATATAAACTGTCCTCGTCATTTCCCTAATACATTCTGAGATGAAACTTTAGGGTTCACTTTAGGATTCACTTCAGCCCGGTGCCGTTGGCTTTGAGGCCTCCTAACACTTTAATGTTGAATAAAATTAAAACCGTTCAAGCTAGGACCATCAAACTTGGCGACTCTTGCTGAATTTTTCTAGATTTACTACTAATGAATTATTATATCACACTTAATTTAGCATTATTTACGTAGCTGTTAATATGATCTAGGCTTTTTAGTGACTAGTTTGGAAACATTAATTGAATTTAAAATGGCCAACTAGCAGGAATAAATGGAATTATTATTCATTCAAAATATTTCCCCGATTCTGATTGGCTAAAAGCACACGTTTAATTCACCATAACCAGTTACTGATGACCAAATTTGGAAGAAATTTGACTTTAACGAGGAAATGACGTCAAAAATGCAGCGTTCGTGCAGGTTAAGGCACCGTTAACCGAGAAGACCTGGGGACGAGGTTGAGTTGTTTTGGTTGTGAACTTGAAAAAATGGCGGACATTTCACTCGTTTCAAGGGTAAGAACTAGGCGAAATAATAGCTAAAAACATGGCAAGAAGAGCAAGAAGACAACTCGAAGGGCGACATCTGCTATTTGGAAAATATTTGCGGAGCTGGACAAACCTAAACATACAATATCGAAGATGAACTGAACATCGATGTCGATCGATGGATCAATGGAGGTAAGCATGTTTTAGCTATGTTTTAGCTAGGTGTTATCCGCCTCGGCCTACGGCCTCGACGGATAACACCCTCCTCGATCTCCATAATTCTTCATAAGATACTCAGCCCCATTCATTAACTGTTAATTAATTTAAATAATTCAAAATGGCAGATCCAAAAAGTCATATGGTCTCAATAAGAAATGACGTCATCATGTTGTCACTTCCATTGTTAAAGATGATCAAATTGTCAACCATCGTCATGATTTTTAAGTAATTTAATTATTTTTGCTTAATGGCTACAGGAACAATTGATAAGCTATGGGTTCAGACAATAAATGCAACAAGGCGACATTAGTTACCTCAAATTACGTTATTGTGTCAATCACATTACTCCTACTTGTTGGAATGATGATTACACTATTTTGTGTAAATTTAGTGGCTGTATCATGAGTGGTTATAATCTTCTCGAAGGGGCCTTCCTCCTCCAATTCCCAGGGAGCCCAAAAACGCCCGGTCAGAATAGTGTTAAATATAGGTCATGGTATTTTGCTTCTTTCTAAGACTGCAGATATAAATTTTTCTCAGGGTTCCCACCGTCAGTTTAAGTTTTCTTAAAAACCAGAAGGAAAGACGTTTAATGCTGTGACTGTTATTTGCGTCCACCTTTTCAGAACTGGCTTGCTTATGATTTGCTACCTGAGGCTTGGAATTTTACTGAGCATGGAAAGCTTCATTTCTCTGGAGTTGGTGCACCAAAGAGAGAGAGCAATTATGCCTTTTGTCAGGTTGGAAAATGTGACGTCTATTAATGATGCATTCAATTTTTATTAACTTAACTTCCAAACTCAAGCCTTTAAACCAACGTGGTTAACAATCAACGTTTGTGTTGTGTATTTCTCGTTTCTTTGAGGGACACTGTGGCATCGGCGTATTGTGCATTTTTGAAATAAGAGTTTAAATCCAACAAGAGATAAGACCTTCTTGATCATCAATAATTAATTAAAAAACCTCATGCGTTGTTCACAAGGGTGTTGTGATTTGTTGACCGTTACGTGTTCAGGAGGTGCATCCACTATTAGATATATTTTATAGACCTAGAGTTTACCTAATCAGTTCCTTAATGAACTGGGACAATATCACTTTCTTCAAAAGGATGAAAGCGATAATATTTCTTTAAACAGTCAGAGGGAAAATTATTGGGTTTGGTAAATCCTGATTTATAGGATTACATGTTTGAGAATCCATTCTACGAGCCGCCCAATATTCTGGCGTCTGCCACCCATGAAAATGGAACCAGGGAACTGTCAATGAAGGCAGATGGTCGCTATAGCAACGCTTTGACTGTCTGGATTGAGGTGAGTAGCCTTGAAGAGACCTAATAAATTGAAACTGTTTCAAATATTTGCTGATTAAAATAGTTACCTTCGCTAAAGAGTAAAGCACTTATAACTAAAGAAGAAGTTCGAAGAGGCACTTTACACTAGACGGCACATTTAAGCAATAACTTGAATCATCAAGCTGATTGTCATTTCCCGTACTCATTTTCACCTGATGATTCTTCTTAACGGAGGCTCCGTGGGTTCACGGTTTAAAAAAAGTCACATCTGTAGATTGTAATTGGTTGATTACGATCCATTCTTTTTTTATTTCTTTCCATGGTGATTATGATTGAAAACTAACTTTCTCGGAATGTATTATTATTTTCATGTAATCCGATTGGTCAACATTGTCTAGGTAGTCTCGGTTATAGTAGCCGCACTGTTACAGACAGCAGCGTCCATTATATGACCGTGGAAACTGTGCGTTCGATAAAACGAAAGTTGCGCTTGTCCTTATTGCCCTAACTGGACGCCCCTGTCTGAAAGCTAACAAGTCAGCACAAACTTTTTATTTATTGGTATATTTGATGTTATTTTCCGGGAGATCACTTGTTTGTCTTTCAAAGTGTGCATCAAAGACAGTCGGGGAATTAGCAAGTCTCACGATCCAGTTACAGTGGACTATGCTATAGTGGGAGGTACATTACTCTTATATTTGCTTATTCTTTAATTTCAAAGGTTTGGTTTTTATACCGGTTCGTCCTACTATCAAGGAATTTTGACGTTGGGTCAAACGTCGAATTGAAAAAATGAATTCGAATAAGAATAAAGTCAGGCAATTGGAACTGTAAAAAAGAAGAAAGAAGTTATAAAAATGGCGTTTAAATATTTAGGACAACATCGTATTGATCCTTTTATTATCTGGGTGAATAACTGCAGCAGTGTACCTCTTTTTCAAGCGTTTTGTAGAAAAAGTAACTTCCCCTTTCCTATCCTTTTTTGCCATAAATTTTGTCCATAGGAAAAACAAAGTAAAATTTAAAAAAAAATCAAAAAGCAGTTGCGCTCTCAAATGATGTAGGACGTCACGTCAATTTGATATACATACAAGTGCTGATTTTGCTGTTGTTTTTTCGCCCTAAAGATTTAGACCCGTGCACAAACGTTACTTGCAATTACCATGCCATCTGCAAAGCTTTCTCTGCATTTGATGCCCGTTGTGTTTGTGATGACAACTGCCCGTCGTACGAGGAGCCAGTGTGTTCATCCAACTC